GCTTTCTTTTAAAGTACTTCCCAATGCACGATCATTGGTTCTTGATTGTGGTACAATTGTCATCAAGGGTAGTGATTGTTTAGGACAACCTATTTGCATGTATGGACTGATTCACTCGGGAAAGACAAGTTCAATTAATTGTGTGAACTCAATTTCCTTACTCACAACCTTTATTTATCCCGTTGTTTTTTTATCTACTTTGTTATCTAATATACATTTAGTATGTTGCCTTTTGTAGCTTGCATAACTAGACATCCCTTATGTTTCTGAAAAACTGGCTGCACTAGGCCTAGAATTGATTTCCAATAATTTTCACTAATATTTCCATGGAATGCTCTAAGTACATCTCAGATGTACATCATCACAAGGGGAGATGATGTACATATGAGATGTATTCATAACCAGAAACAACTCTAGTTTAACCCTAAGAAAAAAAAAATACAAGGACTTCATCTACAATACGAAAACCTCAACTATGCAACATTTTGAGAGGAGATGTTGCACATTGAGATCTACATCTACTGTTATTGTTGCCAATCCCGAGCTTTCTTAAACCCCTTCCTCCGTTGCGGTCAATCTTGAGTTTACTTGAACTCCAGCCTCTTCCTCGGGATAGTATGATCAATCTTAAGCTTTCTTGAACCTCTGCCTCATAATAAAGCTATGATGAATAAGATTTTGGCTTACATGTTGCAATCCATAAGGGCATCAGGTGCATTTGCAACACAATAAGGTGTGAGCTTCTGTTTTGAGTTGCAACTTAGTACATCGGCCACCTTCTTCTTCTCCATTTTTGTAGGAGTTGAATAGGTGCGAAAAGTTTTTGAAATTCTCTCCATCAACCCTAAAACCCTCTATAGATTCAAGCACACACCACCTACTTCTCCATTATTGGTATTGTGGGAAAATTAGAATAAGGAAGGCAACTAGGTCATTAAAGACGATGACAACAACATCTTTGCCATCCACTACACAACGTAATAAGTGACTTGCCGCCCAAAAAAAAAAAAAAAAATCCAGCATTGTAGGAAATTGAACCATCTTTGCACATGACTTCTGACATAATAACTGCCAACGTCCCCAAGGTACCTCCCAACTCTATGTTAGCTGATTATAGACTCAAGGGAGATCAAATTGCTTTATACTTAAAAGGCGAATCATCTTCAAAATGCATAATGATGGGAGGTAACTATTTAAAATTTGTTGACCATAATGGTGATATGTAACTATACTCAAAGAGTAAGCCATGTAATGCCATGAGGTATAAATTTTAATATATAATATGCCTAGTACTTTTGCCTTAAAAATACCATAAACTTATCATAATACCACTAAGTTTTGCTCATTATCTAACTTAAGGAGGTCGCCTTGCGGGTGTTGTCGCGGAGTTTGTCACTACGGCAAGGTGGATTATTAACTTGCCTGGATGGGGACCAAATTATAGTACCGGATTTGTTAAGATACCACAAGGCTTCAAAACACCTTACCAAATTATACCAAAACCTCAATAAGTCATTAAACAATACATAGCTCCTAATTTTAATTTCAATTAACAATGAAAATGTTGTTTTGGTTTTGAAGCATTTGGTTTTTTGTGATCCAATAAACCATGTGGTTTTAATATTGAAGCTTACGTTGGAACATATATTATTGTTTCTGTTTATAGGTCAGAGCTAAAATTGTTTCAAAGATGCTGAAAATGATTGGTGGGTTGACATCCCTACTTTATGAAACTGAGACGAAGCAAGGAACGAAATCCGGTCTTTGAGACATGTAATCACCATTGTTAACACCTACTAAAAGTAAGTACAATGATCAAGTGAAGAATTCATTCAACTGTGTATATGATAAACATGCTTCCGTATTCATACCTTTGCGACGATCTATTGACATCCATTATCGACAAGACACTCCATGTCAACTCGTGTTATGTGATGTCATCCATTATCGACAATCATACTACACAAGAATGATGTTATGAAGTTACCAATTTGTACCATCAAACATAATACACCAAATTACTTAATAATTCAAATCCATACGTAAATATGTAGTAATTAATGAAAGAATATTAAACATACCATTTTTTTTATTTACAATAATTTACTAAAATATTTTACACTATATAATTGCATTATAAGATCCATGAGTAAATTGTAAGTTACTACATTTACATAAGTTACTAAGTTGCAATACATTGACCAAAAAAAAAAGAGTAAGTTATTTTGGTATTTTTACATTTACATAGGAATTCCTTATGTTCATAGGTGTAATTAAATGGTAAGTTACTTTCTTTTCCTAAACCAGACTTTTTATTTATGATAATCGAAAATATTGAAAAGAATGTAATTAAATATTGACTATATAAATATTACACCGTGTTGACTATAATCAAAATCTCAACAGTAGTGTGTTGAATAAGGTGGACCAGGAGGAAGTAGGAAATGGCAGAGGTTAGAAACCCAATGTGGGAAAAATCGTTGATATTATTGAAATTTTCTCTACCCCTGGTAGGGAGGGAGGAGGGGGTAAAAGGTTGCTAGGTTTGGGAGGGAGGAAGGGTTAAGGGGAGGGGATGCTGGGTCCTTTTTTTTTTTTTTTTAATAAAGTTTTTTTTACTTTTTATTTATTTATTTATGTTTATATAATATTTAAACATTTTATTATGTTTTAATTGTACACACCTCCCTAAGAGCACTTCCAGCATGTTAGTTTTCCTAGAGCAAAAGGGAGTGTAGGTTGGGTTTAAGCTCCCCAGTAATGAAAGACAGCCCTGGCAAAAATGGGCTCCATTTACCCAGGCAAGCCCAAAGGCAAGAATTGCCTAAGCTGCTGCCTGGGTTTGCTGATCTCATGCTGACATCAGCAACCAATTTAAATACAACAAAAAAAAAGAAAAAATACCAAAAAATCCAGAATTTTTTTTTCTCTATAAATACCTAACCACATTATTCACTTCTCACACCAAAACTCCATACAAATTTCTCTCATCATATCTCATGTGAATAGTGTTTGCCTTTACTTGCCCTGACAGTGAGTGGAAAAGCAAAATAAAAAAGGATAGGGCAATCACTATTCACATGAATAGTGTCTACCCTTTGCCATGGCACAATGGGTGGAAGTGCTCACTTCCACCCCATCTCCTAGACTCCAAAAACAACCTCCACTCAAGGAAAAGTTGTCATGGCAAGAAGTGGGCCATGAAACTTGACAAGCTTGAATGCCTGGGCAATTTGACGTCAGCGACTAATTTAAATACCAAAAAAATGAGACCAAAAAATTCAGAATTTTTTTTTCTATAAATACATACCTAGCCATGTTTTTCACTTCCCACACCAAAATCCATACAAATTCCTCTTCTCATATCCCATGTGAATAGTAGTTGCCCTTGGAGTGCCATGACAATGGATGAGAATGCATGAAAAAAATTGCTAGGTCAGTCAACATTCACATGAATAGTATCTGCCCTTACTTGCCATTGCCCTAGCCTTTCTAATAGAATTTTAAAATCTTAATTGAATACACCTAGACTTTTGGATAATACAGAATAGCCTAATTGTCATTTGGATTTTAAACTTTTATAATATAAAATTACTAAAATGTTCATGCAACATCAACAACTTAACAATTTTACCGAAGAAATTGACGGAATGGAGTAACGTGAGATACGAAATGCAAGTATAAGGGGAAATTAAGTCACTTGAAAGTTCAGGAGAGAAAGTGAGACAATAAGCCAAGCATAGATGATGTATCAATAAATAAATAAAATAAGCCTTTCTTTTTTATAGAAAAAAAAAAAGCAAAAAAAATCCGGTGAACGCTGAGGTGGCAATGTCACGTAGCCGCAGAAAAGTATGCACTTGGACAAGCTCTATTTATACTAAACTAAAGCTGATTTCGTTATCCGTTTGTAGACGTTGCAAACTCCTCACTTCCACTTGAGCATGGCTTCGTCTTCCTCGACTCTGCTCCTTCCACTTGGTAATCACTTTTCTTCTTGATTAAAGCCTTCTTTTTATTACTTTTCCCTCTTCTTATCAATCTCAATGTGCATGTTCAAAATTAGAAAACTCAGTAAAAATAAAAATAAAAATTCTGTGTTTGCCTTTTTCTCTCTCTTGGGTAATATTATAATTTATAAGGCAGAATTTTTTTGAAAATTTCCATTCAAGTATGTACTTGTGGGATTCATATGTTGCGAATTAGTTAGCAGAATGATTATGTTATATTTTTATTTTATTTTGTATTATCCTGTTCTTCGTAAAATTCTGTTAGTTTCTTTTAATTTCTAAATCAAACGGCAATTAGGCTATAGAATTTGAGATAGCCCTCATCCACTTTCAGGGGTGACTGTGAACTCTAGTTCTTGGAGTTGGCTATTGAGGCCGGTGAGTGGTGTTGTTTAATTTGTACAATTTGAACCAGGTCCACTGTGTGTGATTCATGTCAAAGATTTAAAATGGGGTTTTGCCTGTACAAATCCGAAGTTAGCGACGGGAACAATTGTTTCTCTTTTTGGAAGGAGAGGGAGCAGTGAGTGGCAATGTGAAGGTTGAACATTGTCCAGATCGTATTGCAGCTTTGCAAGAAATGGGCTATAAATGGAGGGAGCTTTGAAATTTTGGTGCTATAGAAAAGCAGGCAGTTGGAATAGAGTCAGCTTCTTAGATAGGAACAGCATGGCCCTTGTAGATTTATTTTTAAATTTTACAATTAGGGCTTTGGGTAATGGTTTAGGATCTAAGGCTTACAGCTAATCCTAGGCCCTGAACCTTAGTCTACAGCCTAAGGTAATGAACCAAAAAAAAAATGGTTGTTTGGACGGCATGGGGTCCTGTCGAAGAAGCTTGGTATGTGTCTGTACCACAGCTTTAGATGTTCTGTTTTGCTTTCAAGTTTTACCTATATGCTATATCACAGCTTTAGTTATGCTGGCAATGTCACGTAGCCGCAGAAAAGTATGCACTTGGACAAGCTCTATTTATACTAAACTAAAGCTGATTTCGTTATCCGTTTGTAGACGTTGCAAACTCCTCACTTCCACTTGAGCATGGCTTCGTCTTCCTCGACTCTGCTCCTTCCACTTGGTAATCACTTTTCTTCTTGATTAAAGCCTTCTTTTTATTACTTTTCCCTCTTCTTATCAATCTCAATGTGCATGTTCAAAATTAGAAAACTCAGTAAAAATAAAAATAAAAATTCTGTGTTTGCCTTTTTCTCTCTCTTGGGTAATATTATAATTTATAAGGCAGAATTTTTTTGAAAATTTCCATTCAAGTATGTACTTGTGGGATTCATATGTTGCGAATTAGTTAGCAGAATGATTATGTTATATTTTTATTTTATTTTGTATTATCCTGTTCTTCGTAAAATTCTGTTAGTTTCTTTTAATTTCTAAATCAAACGGCAATTAGGCTATAGAATTTGAGATAGCCCTCATCCACTTTCAGGGGTGACTGTGAACTCTAGTTCTTGGAGTTGGCTATTGAGGCCGGTGAGTGGTGTTGTTTAATTTGTACAATTTGAACCAGGTCCACTGTGTGTGATTCATGTCAAAGATTTAAAATGGGGTTTTGCCTGTACAAATCCGAAGTTAGCGACGGGAACAATTGTTTCTCTTTTTGGAAGGAGAGGGAGCAGTGAGTGGCAATGTGAAGGTTGAACATTGTCCAGATCGTATTGCAGCTTTGCAAGAAATGGGCTATAAATGGAGGGAGCTTTGAAATTTTGGTGCTATAGAAAAGCAGGCAGTTGGAATAGAGTCAGCTTCTTAGATAGGAACAGCATGGCCCTTGTAGATTTATTTTTAAATTTTACAATTAGGGCTTTGGGTAATGGTTTAGGATCTAAGGCTTACAGCTAATCCTAGGCCCTGAACCTTAGTCTACAGCCTAAGGTAATGAACCAAAAAAAAAATGGTTGTTTGGACGGCATGGGGTCCTGTCGAAGAAGCTTGGTATGTGTCTGTACCACAGCTTTAGATGTTCTGTTTTGCTTTCAAGTTTTACCTATATGCTATATCACAGCTTTAGTTATGCTGTTTTTCCTTTAAATTAGCTCATCTTGTGTTAGGTTCTTCTGGAAAAAGGATATCTGCAAATTATCAAGGCATTTCCTGCGCAAAAGTTCGGGGTGTGCTTGTGCGATGTTCAAATTCAGAACTTACTGTTAAAGCTGCAAGATCAAGAGGATATATGGATCAGTTCTGTTTAACGAAACGAAGAGATATGATTGGGTTGCTTCTTGGAGTTTCAAGCCTTGTGATAGACTCATTTGAAGCAGAGGGAGCTGGCTTACCCCCAGAAGAAAAGCCCAGGCTATGTGATGGTTCTTGTGAGAAAGAGCTTGAAAATGTATGGTGAGATTGCATGGATCCCTTAACTGCATATTTGGAGTTCAAATATTACTCGCTCCAAAATTCTAGCAGATTTTATAGCAGTTATAACTTGCATAATACTGATCTCTAGCTTGTTCATTAAATCTTTAAAAAATATGAAGTTTACAAATAATATTGTGATTCAACTATGGGGACTTGAAATATTTCTCAAACTGGAAAAATGGAAGTAATGCTTAACAGGATTTCAAGTCAGTTTTATGTAGCTTGCCCGAATGAAAGGATCTATTTGGGGTTTTCAGGAAAAAGGGTTAATACCTAGAACTGTGAGGCTCGTTCATAGTTATGCTTAACCCTTTGCATACTGTTTAGTGCAACAATAGACAACAATATTTTTATTCAAAATAGACAAGAATATATAAAGATATACATAAGTAATTATTTCCAAGTAATTAGTGCTTTCTCACATTAATGAAAGGACACCTGCGATATGCACGTTGTGAAAAATCTAGTTTTAGTGCAGCCTTATATGTCATGACACTCCCAATTTCACTCCACCAATTTATTTCTATTTATGTATTCCTTTTCCATTTATGAGTCTTCAACTCTATTACTTTTTTCCTCCTTATTTTCCAAGGATGTTTGTTGCCCATTTCAGAATCGTTGTGATGAGTAGTTCACTCTACAAACTTTTTTATGATCCTGAATTTCTATTTATCTCTTTCCCCTGAAACTTTGCATACACACCAATTTGAGCCTATCTATTTAATCCCTTCATATGGTTCTTGTTGTGGCATGAGCTCCAAGTTTTGTGCCAGAGCTAGATATCTATTAACTGAATCGGAGTTCAAGTTAAGTTGGTCAAATCGTCTCTGCTAGCACTATTTTAGCTTTCACTTTACATTATGCAACCTGAGCATAACCTCCCAAGACATTATTTAAACGTAATGATTTGTGTCTTTTACTTGAGATACGTTTTCTCCACTTTATAGCAGCTCATATGATCAATTCACTCTGTTGCTGTCAGTTAATAAGGATGCATTGTTTCTGGTTTAAATGATCATAATCATTTTGTTTTCCCTGGAAGTTCATTGATTTTATGTCAGTGACGAATGTTCTTTGTTGATGTGAACTATCAACCGTATTGGTAATGGATGCTAAATTTGTCTCTTTGTTGAAGATACCTACGGTAACTACAGAGTCCGGTTTGCAGTACAAGGATATAAAAGTTGGTCAAGGCCCCAGCCCACCAGTTGGATTTCAGGTGCGTAATGTTAAATTTTAGGTTAAATTTCTGAATGTTGGTTCTTCTCCATCTAGGAGGTATCGAAGGGACTACAATGATATACAAACTAGGAAACAAATGAACCTCATAGAAGTTGAAAAGTTGACACACAAAATTCTACTAATAAAAACTTCCTATTTCTATTAAAGCAATTACTTTACCTTCCTTGTGCTTTAAGAACAATGTATGATCAGAATTGCTCTTTCCGAATTTCTCCATAGACTAAGTAAATCTCCCAAACCAAGCTCTAGGAGATTGCTTAAGCCATACAGAGCCTTCTTTAGTTTACTGACTTTCTCACCACCTAAACCAACCGCAAATCCAGGTGGGAAATCCATATTGGGAGAACTAGTTTTCGGAATATGTTGGATTTTTGTTTTCTCTGACACAAACAAGCACTTGATTGTTAATAGAATTTAAAGGTTATTTTCTATATTTGATATTGGCTCTTGTACCATCATCTCTGCTTCTTTGTGAATCTCCGTAAAATGCACTTCTTAGCAGTCCTTAAGATAATCACAATTCATAAGTACTTATTGCCTCTGCAGCCACAGGTCTTGGGTACCAGAAGTTCAAATATAAATTTTCTACTTCCTTTTACTTTCTGGTTTCCTAGATATGGTATCAATGTATATTTTACGTCAAATTTGTGGCATCTCCTTACTGAGAATAAGCCTTCCTCATACTTTCTTAATCTCCGTATATGTGTTGTTTGCTTGACTGAACCAAGCTAGCTTGATATCACTCCAGGTGAATTAGCTAATATTATGGTTTAGCTATATGGAAATAGTGGGTGGTTCTATCACAGAGAGAGAGAGGGAGGGATAGAATTCTATACAGACATTTATCTACTTGTAATTAGATGTACATTGTTTATTGTGTTTTTGACTCTCATACGGTGACAAAGTTTGTATAATTTTTGTGTAGGTGGCGGCGAATTATGTTGCCATGGTTCCATCTGGACAAATATTTGACAGGTATCACATTGTTATACCTTGATAGCAGCAAAAAAAGTGCAATAGCTTTCATGATTTTCTTTCTTTAGAAATAGTTTTATAAAATAAGTTAAAGTACAACTCTGAGGACAAGTTATCCACATCATATATGCATCAATGTAGACAACAACAATATTGCAAACAATCAAAACACAGTTAGGAATAAAGAACAGATACTTTCCAATCTACCAAATTAGAAGAAAACATTATGTTCTGAAAGCTTAAAAGAAACGGAAACCCAATGTCAAGAACAAAATCTGACTTTGTCCCATAAAACTTCCGCCCAATCCCCACAACAACAGGAGAAAACAATACGCTGGATACAATATATCGTTGGGTACAAGGCACACACTTTATTAGAACTTTTTCTTTCCTTTTCCTGATCAGGAGCAGAACTTTTACTTGGACAAGTTGTCCATCACACGTACATCACCGAAGACAGAAAAACATTGGAAACAATAGACTTTCTAACAACGAGAAAGATCCAAACACAATTGAGAGGCCTAAATAACAGGGTTAGCAGCTGTTTACTATCTACCAAAATGGGAGAAACAATATGTGATGTAACTCAGAAGACAGTGAAGCCAAAAATGAAGACAAAAGTCTGAATTTGTCCCATAAAACCTTCACCTCCTCCCTACCATGATTTCAGAAAATGTTTTATTCCTCTTCAATGACATTACCAAAAGACCACTACCGCACTACTAAACCATAACACTTTTTCCTTCTTACCACCACCGAAAGAAATGTGCTTCTCAAACAAAAAGAATAAGCATGTAGCTGGATTTACCCAGCTCAGATAAACTTCCCTAAACAGACTCAACCACGAGTATAATTTTATTGGGAAGTGTTGGGAAGTGAAGAAAAAACCGATCGTCATTTTTTCCGTCTCTATGCATTATGCACCATTGGGAAGCTTTGGGTATTCTCCTTTGCATCAAACCACAATAGCCTTAACATGATAAACTATCCAAGCAACATATACCCTGGCATGGTACTTACTCATGATATGCATCACTTGTTCATTTATTAAGAGTTGTTAGTATTCAATAATAAAGCATCTCAGAGATGTAAACTTCACGATGGTTAATTTGTAAGTAAGATCTTGTTGATATTTTCTATAGGTTTTCCGCTTGGGACCTAATATATGGTGGCGTCCTACATCTTTTTTTAGTTTTTATTTTTATTTTTATAACTTTTCTTTTTTGGTTCGGAACAAGTTTTGTGGTTGACAAATTTTGATTGGGGCTTAGATAAGATCCAGGTTCTCACTCTTGTATTCTTTCTTCAAATATACAGTTCCTTGGAGAAGGGTCAAGTTTATATATTTCGTGTTGGCTCTGGTCAGGTATGCTCTATAAATGTCTCCAATCATTTGATTTATATTTATGATTTTTCAGTCATCCTCATCCTCATTAGAGAAGAGTAATCACATTAATGATATTGTGGTCTATTTGTGCTTTCAGTTCCAAACTTATCCTATTTAATCATGAGTTTGCTTCTTGAATCAATTAATACAACTCAAATTTTTCGAGTAATCAATGAAATTATAGGTCCTGTCATTGTTTTGGTGATAGCATGTTATTGTACAATCACCCAAAAAAAAAAATTTGGAGAGAAAAAAAAGTCTAATTATAGGTCCTGTCATTGTTTTGGTGATAGCATGTTATTGTACAATCACCCAAAAAAAAAAATTTTGGAGAGAAAAAAAACTCTGCGATTACATGAAGTACATGACTAAAGGGGAGGCAGAAGGATTGGTACTGTTTGAATCACATTATCTCATTCTCAATTTGTTATAGGAATTTAAAAGTAACTTATCCTGCTGGTAAAAAGGATGTTTGTTAATAATTGTTAATCTGAATGAGTAGAACAGGTGATCAAGGGACTTGATGAAGGGATCTTATCCATGAAAATAGGAGGGAAGCGCCGACTCTACATCCCAGGATCGGTAAGTTTTTTACTGTGTTATTTGTAACAGAAAAACTGGGAACTTTATATTTCTAAAAAAAAGAAAGAAGAATTATTTTCAATTATCTGAGCATTTATTCCTTGGAATTCTTTTCTAGTAGAATACTTTCCCATCATGTCAATAGCAGTGCAAAATTTCGTTGATCACAGTGTTTATGAGATTACTCAGCCATGCAGCTTATCCAAATTTTTTTAGGCTGGGGTGCTCACAAATGTATCATTACCTGGAAAACTAAGATATTATTAATAACAGCTCCTCATGGAAGGTTTATCGAAGAGAAGGATGAGATACATTTTGCTTTCTCTATTTGACAAGGTTTTCTTTGGCCTCTACTAGGCTAGAGGCTTCTGAAACTTTGGCCTGCTGTAAAATCTGACTTTTATCATTTCTTTATCAGTCAAAAAAGAAAAAGGGGAAAAGAATGGTATTCAAAAACCTAGAACCTGTTCGAGGCATTATGTGTTATGCTTCTTCTGTGGGGTTGAGTTGAAACTTTAATAGTCATGATTGTATTGGCTTTGATATCTTCCAACCACCAATTGCAAGTGCATCTATGAATTCACAGCAGGACAGTTCTAACCTTTGTGCTTTTACTCTGGTTTTGATTAGTTGGCGTTTCCCAAGGGTCTCAATTCAGCTCCAGGAAGGCCAAGGGTGGCTCCAAGTAGTCCGGTCATTTTCGACGTGAGTTTAGAATACGTACCAGGCCTTGAAATTGAGGAAATTGAGGAAGAGTAAGAGAACAGATACCTCCCTTCTTTAATTTATCTTTTCTTAGTTGTGCCATTTTTTTCTAAACAGTGGAGCCACAAAGGGAACCATGATGTAAGGACTTGCATTGAATATGCCAATTAATTCATCTTTTTTCTGTTTCAAGGGTTTTCTCTTCAGTTCCTAATTTTCTTTAATACAAAGTGTATAAAAACTCTATTGTCATGTCTTCTCTTATTCAAGTAAAAGACAATTTTACCAACGGAATATTTTAATGGGTTTAAAGTTGACTTTTTGTTCGGGAAAGGATTTGGGGATTTAAATGGTACCGTTGCGTAGATTGCGTTGAGATGAGTCCATAGACACGTAGTGGGCTCACATCAGAGTTATAACGAAAAAGTTACGAGCTATGGAAGCCTAGTGACATAATCATAAATATTTCGAAGTTCAGTTTTTAAAAACCCATATTTTTCTTTTCTCTCACTCTCTCTCTCTCTCTCTCTCTCTCTCTCTCTCAAATATGGCTCTCTCTCCTCCTTCACAAGCAGCCCACTTCATTTAATGGGTTTAAAGTTGACTTTTTGTTCGGGAAAGGATTTGGGGATTTGAGTGGTACCGTTGCGTAGATTGCGTTGAGGTGAGTCCATAGACACGTAGTGGGCTCACATCAGAGTTGTAACGAAAAAGTTACGAGCTAAGGAAGCCTAATGACATAATCATAAATATTTCAAAGTTCAGTTTTTAAAAACCCAGATTTTTCTTCTCTCTCTCTCTCTCTCTCTCTCTCTCTCTCTCTCTCTCACGAATCTGCCTCTCTCTCCTCCTTCCCAAGCAGCCAACTTCATACGGAGATATCTCCGCCGTCCGGCCACCAAAACTGGTGCCATAATTTGCAAACTCTTCATCTCTCTCTCTCCTCTTTCCATACATACTCATATCTAGCCTTGATTCCAAGCGATTAAACCAGAAATTCAAGCCAAAGTGAAGCCCAAAATAGGCTGTTCGAAACCGGAACTTTTGTGGGTTTTTCCGGCCAACTCCGACCACCATCGACCGTGCTATCACACCCAAACCACTCACCTACCTCCCCTCTGTAATTTCCCTCGAAGACTCGACGTGATTCCATCCCGAAATCATTGAATCAAAACTTAGAAATTTCTAGGTTTTTCGAAGAGAAAACCCTTCGTTCGAGGGCTTTAACGGCCAAATTAGTCTTCGACTCAGGTACGAAACATACTCCTATTGATGTGCTTGATCTTTTGGCAAAGGTCTTGACTAGAGGTGTCAAACGGGCCGTGTCAGGCCTGCCCATCCCATTTAAACTTGTGCTTTTAACGTTTTTGTTCCGGGCCAGGCCAGTCCATTTAATTTATTGGGTCATGCCGTGCTGGCCCATTTATTAAAATCATTGATCCCGGCCAGGGGTAAAGCCCATGTCCAGGCCCCGTTTTCGTGCCATGCTCGGGCCCAAGAATCAACCCATTTAATTTGAATTTTTTCCACTAGATAATTCAAATTATAAACATTAAAAATATAATTAGAGGCCAGAAATGATGAACTATTTGAAAACATTAATCAATCAAACATCAAACAATATGAAAGGGAGGAGGGCAAAAAGAGTCCAATTCCACAAAATCGACTTCAACTTTTCATCTTAAAACAACTTATTATTTAATATGTGAAGAAATGTCTATCTTTGATTATAAGAGAAGCGTATATGTCATATGTAATGATCAAATATCAAGTCCAATGTTGTTTAATTAATTTGTAGTTTATATGTTTAATTAACTAAGGACCCAAGTAATTTCCCTAAAATGAAAGACATCAAATATATGTTTATGATTATAAAAAAAAAACATATAAATAATGACATTAGATGTCAAATTATTACATTTTGACTTTTGAGAAAACAAAAAATGTTAAGTGGCCCAGGCTTGGGCCGTGCTTGAAGCGGGCTTGGGCTCGGGCCTTGCTTGAAGAGGGCTCGGGCCAAGCCCGGCCCATGTCGGGCTATGGGCCGGCCTAGTCCATTGGACCTCATTTTTTAATCCCAGCCTAGCCCAAGTTTTCGTGCCGTGCCGAGCACGGCCCATTAATATTCATGCTCGTGCTTGTGTCGTGCCTCATTTAAACAGGTTAGATTCGTGCCGTGCTGGGCTGCCCATCCCGCTTGACACCTCTAGTCTTGACCGGCGGTTTAGAGATTTACCGATTGCTGGAATTTACTCTGTGCACCCACGCTCTGCTGGCGCATGTGGCGGCTCGTGGGCCACTTTGTGGCAGGCCATTGGGTTCTAAAATGATCCCCATGTCATCCCGAGCACGACGGTATGCTCATATTTGAATTTGGTTATCGTTTGACTGTCGATCGGATATCGCATATTAGGCGTTCTTCAGGTTTGATATGTTCGGACCATTGGATCGACTCCATTTTCATATATGTTGATCTAGGCATCTCTAGGATCGTGTAGGAATTCGCGGATTGTGAATCGGAGTCCCGGATGCTCCGATTCAATGACTTAACTTGCGTTAAACGATAACTATCCAATCGTACGACAGCAAGCGATCCGACAGTTCGTTTAGGACCAAACTTGAAGGACATGTATAGTAAACCTTGTTGAACCCGTAGGAACTCTCAAATCAGAAATCGAAGGTCGTGGGCCCCGCGGGCTCGGTTGACCAAGTTTGGGCAGTTTCCCCCCTGCCGTCTAAATCCACAACATTTCATCCAATCTGCCGTTAAATATGAGGGCAAAGTGGTCATTTCGTACTTTAAAAATGAATACAAAATAAAATAAAATAAAGAAAACCCAAGAAAATGATTAACCTCACATTATCCAAGATCAATAAAAAGCTTGAGCAGGACCCCTTTGCAGCTTCAAGTTTAGATTTGAAGCCCATCTCTCTCTCTCTCTCTCTCTGTGTGTGAGAATCAAGGGCATTGATGGAAAAGGAGGTTTTCTTGCTCTAAGACTTTGAAACTTCAATTTCTGTTTAATGGGTTTGGGTTTGGAGGACTAGTTCATGCACTACTACAAAAAGGGCAAAAGACGACCAGTAAACAACGACGATAGATCAAAAAACCGTCGTTGTTTATTAAAAGACGACGGTAATAGAAACCCGTCGTAGAAACATACTTTAAACACCTAAAA